CGTTTCTTTTCTCTCTCAGACCGTTTTTCACGAGTTCATCAAACAAGTGGTAAGAATCATTCATCAATCACGGTGAGTTAATGGCTTCTTCTCCTGCTATTGTTGTTTGTATCGCTTGCCACATGTATAGTTTATCTTTCTCTGTCGGCGACGAGGGATTCACATGTGATAAATGCAGGGAAATAGTTAGGCTGAGAGAGAAGATTTCAGAACTAGAGACACACATCCAAACGTTAATTGAGGACAGTAAGAATGTGAGGGCTGTAGATACAGATTTCCAGAAGTCATAGATCCTCTTCTGACTATTATTAATTCGTCATTGTCATTAGGATATGTCCCCAAAACCTTCAAACTGGCTGTTATTAAGCCTCTGATTAAAAAACCACAACTTGACCCCAAAGAACTAGTTATTTACAGACCGATCTCGAATCTCCATTTTCTGTCTAAGATACTAGAAAAGGTAGTATCCTCACAATTATATTCCTTCTTAGAGAAAAATGGTATCTGTGAGGATTTCCAGTCAGGATTTAGACCGTATCATAGTACAGAGACTGCTCTCATTAGAGTTACATCTGATCGTGGTTGCATCTCTCTATTAGTGCTACTGGATCTTAGTGCTGCATTTGACACTATTGACCACTGCATTCTTTTGAATAGACTAGAAAACTTTGTTGGCATTAGTGGAAGTGCATTAGCATGGTTCAAATCTTACTTATCTTACCGCCATCAATTCGTAGCAGTGAATGAAGAGGTGTGATGTTGATCACAAGTGCAGTATGGAGTACCTCAAGGCTCAGTACTAAATTTTAAAATATATTAAAATAGAAAATAGTTAATTGTTATATTTCACAATATTGCTGTTTTACTGGTTTTTGTTGTTGTTGTTGTTTTTTTCAAATAAGTGCAGCCTTGGTGAGCATGAGACTTAAAAAAAAATATTACAAAATCTTACTGACCCCAAACTTTTGTGTACATGTAATATTTGTTTTAAATTGGCTAGTTTGTGCAAGTACATTTATTTAAACTGGTTGTTAAAAGTTCAAATGGATTGTATGTTCTGTAATTGCTGTTAATAAATCTGTCAGAAAAAAAATATGCTAAAGTTTCGCCTTTAGGGGTACAAAAGCCTGGCAGTCTTTTACAAAAATGAACCATTCATTACAGTATATTTTATTTCTGACAGTGTAAATAAAAAAAAGGCCTATGAAATGTTTAAAAAAACATGGCTTTAAAATCTAATATTAAGTGAGTGTAATTACTGATTATATTCTTTTAATAATTTAAAAGATCAGTTTAGTTTAGAGGTATCGGTATCGATAGCGGCGATACTGGGATTGAAAATATCGGTATCGGATCGAAAATAAAATAAGCGGTATCGCCCATCCCTACCAACCACCAGAGGGAGCCCTCTGTTTCTTCGTTGGTTACTTCCTGTTTGCTACCATATTTAAACCATGCTGTTCCTGTTACTCACTGTGAAGTTTTGCCAGTTCTCGCTGCCTTACAAAATGTTTATTTTCATTGTGTACCTTGTTTGACTACTGCCTTTTGTATTACTCTTCGCCTTGTTGGACTGACCTCACGTTTGTCTGAAACCAGCCTGTCTCATCTACGACGATACAGCCTTGTGATTTGGATTTGTTTTTATTTTGTTAATAAACTTCTTGCTTTTGGATTGCCTATGGCTCCGTCACAGAAGGGAACCTTCGCTGTTTATCAAGAACAAACAATAACAAAAGGCAAGGCAAGGCAAGGCAAGTTTATTTATATAGCACATTTCATACACAATGGTAATTCAAAGTGCTTTACATAAAAGAA